ATTAATTTCTTTCTATTTTTAGTAGAGACAGGGTCTCGCTCTTGCTCAGGCTGGTTTCAAACTCCTGAGCTCAAACAATCCGCCCGCCTCGGCCTCTCAGAGTGCTAGGATTACAGGCGTGAGCCACCGCACCCTGCCTACATTTTTTTAATACTAAAATCTTCTGCATCCAATGTGTATTATACTTAAAACACATCTCAATTCAGACTAGCCAAGTTTAGTTACTCAATAGCCACATGTGTGTGACAAGTGTCTAATATATTGGACAGTATAGGTTAAAGTAGTTAATGATTACTGTATTTGCCAGTCCTCTTTGCATATCTTTTGCCTTATTAGGATTAATGGTGTTTTTTTTTTTTTTCTGTAAAATATAATTTAGGTGAAAGTGGCTTTATCAAGAATACCTCTTTTTTTTTTTTTTTTGAGACGGGTCTCACTTTGTTGCCCAGACTGGAGTGCAGTGGCCCAATCATAGCTCACTGTAATCTCGAATTCCTAGGCTCAAGCAATACTTCTGCCTCAGCCTCCTGAGTAGCTGAGACTACATGCACACACCACCATGTCTGGCTTATTTTCAAAGTTTTCATAGAGATGGGATCTCACTATATTGCCCAGGCTGGTCTCAAACTCTTGGCCTCAAGCAATCCTCCTGCCTCGGCCTCCCAAAGTGCTGGGATTACAGGCATGAGTTACTGTGCCCAGCTAAGAATACCTCTTATTATATATCCAAAGGAAATGAAATTGGTATCTTGAAGAGATGTCTGCCCCTCCATGTTTATTGCACAGTATTCATGATAGCCAAGATATGGGAACAACATAAGTGTTAGATGGATAAAGAAAATATGGTATACATACACAGTGTAATATTATTCAGCCATAAAAAGAAAAGGAAATCCTGCCATTTGCAATAACACGGATGAACCTGGAAGATATTATGCTAAATGAAATAAGCTAGACACAGAAAGACAAATACGAATATGATCTTATTTATATGTGAATTGAAAAAGTTGAACTCATGGAAACAGAGAATAGAATGGTAGTTGATAGGGGATAGGGGATAGGGAAATGGAGAGGTGTTGGTCAAAGGATACAAACTTTCAATTATATGATGAATAAGTTCTGGGGACTAATATATAGCATAGTGACTATACATAATAATACTGTATTGTTTACTTGAAATTTCATAAGAGAGCAGATTTTTAAGTGTCCTCACCCCCTCACACACACACAGTGGAAACTGGGTGATGATGGATATGCTAATTAATTTGACTGTGATAATCAGTACTTAACATATATATATATATATATATATATCTCAAATCATCATGTTGTACACCTTGAACATATATAATTTTTGTCAAATATCTTTTTAAAAAGAATATCTTTTGTGATAATTTAAAAATGAATTACCACTAATGAAATAATGAAATATTAATTATTTGATATAATTAGACATAATTATTAGTAAGTGGTTGTCCTCAACTCTGAAATAATGAAGGGAGAGGTATATGGATAATTTTTATTGGAGGATAGTCGAGATGGGTCTTCTTTTGTGATGAAGCCTCCTTAGAAACAAGAGCCACAGAATGGAGTTTGGGGAGAGGTAGAGAATGGGAAGGTCATTTTGGAAAGAGTTCATAGCTAATGAAGAATTCTTAAGGTCTTCGAATGCCTGTTATCTAAGTGATCTATTTTTATTTCTTTACCTTGCATTATTAGCAGGGACCAGTGAATTGTTGGAAAATGAACACAATATTTAACTATTAAAGTTGTAAGAGAAATAGGGCAATAAAGCTGTCACCTTATTAACATTATCTGTTCTTGAAGAAAGTCTTCAAAAGGTAATTAAGGGCAGAATCTGCCTCTTTTCTAGCACTTCAACTACAGGCAGATTGTGGCTGCTATTGCCATATGTGTTTGATATTGCCCATTTCACCAGTCGTTATCATTTAGATAGGCAAGCAAAATCATCTAGGAAGTCAGAGGATTGCAAATGGAATCAGAATCACGTTGCCACAGTCTCACTCTGGCTTAGCCTTGAGTATGGTATCGACTGACTGGAGACTGCTAGACCCTCAGCCATCTGCTGCCTTCTGGTAGTGCTCCACGATCATGTGTCTATGCTGCTGCTTTGCGATGCAAATGCCAATAATCATACTATGCACTTAGCTTCTGAGAGAGATCTGAGAGAGATCGAGAGATGTCTCTCTCTTAAGAGAGACAAGTCATGCTTCAGTGGAATAACTCTTTTAGTCAATCTGTGTAAGTAACAGAGACACCAAAAACAATTAGACTAGCAGTTAGTTTAATTTAATCGACCCAGCAGTCCACTTCCTGGTATATACTTTAGTGACATGTATGTGCATATGCACCAGGTGGCATGTACTAGAATTAGAATGTTCATAGCAGAATTATTTGAAATAGTAAAAAAGTTGTTCATCTACGAAAATAATGGATGAATATCAGTGAAAATAAATGAACTTTGGATACACACAGGCTAGCCTTAATCAACAGAAGTCTTATTTCTTATTCCCTAAAGCAAAGTAGGTACGGGATTGGAAATATAAGAATATCCTAACCCGGATGAGCAGAAGAGAAGAAGGGAAAAAAAAAGTCCTCGTAGCTGGAAAACTTCCTTCACTGTATCCAAAGTTATAAGAACTCATTGGGTTGTGTCTCTAAACTGAGAATCAGAAAAACAATCACAATCAGTAAATTCACAGTTTTCATATGACATTTCTAAATTTCCAAAGTGATGTAGCCTTTATCAGTCTAGCTAGCTAACTAGTTCCATCCATCTCCATGAACATCATCTGATTTAACAGAGTTCTCATTATGCTGTATTCATCTGTACATATTTTAATGTTTGACAATGTTCCCAAAGTTAAATTTGATTGTAGATAAACTTAAGAGTGTCATCAGTACTTGGAGAAAGCAAATTTTACTTGATTTTATCTTCATTTTTTAAAAAACCTGAATGCTAATTATTAACCAACTGTTGTTAAAATTTTTAAGGGAAATTGGGTAGCAAGATCTTAGGTCTGATTATAAATATTTGTCCTTTTTGGGAGCCTGTGATTTTTTTCAATACAAACCGATTTTTTTTTTTTTTTTTTGGAGACAGAGTCTCGCTTTGTTGCCCGGGCTAGAGTGCCG